CTTCGGCTCTAGCCGGAGGAATGTTTTGCATACGGCGTTTTCTACACAACTCCAAATAAACATACGTGTGTTTCCTCCGCGGGTGTGACTCGGTTTTACACACTCAGCTGAACAGGGTCAAAACAGCACACACGCTGCCACAGTGTGTGCCGGATGCACCAGTTATCTGTCACAACACTGGCTGTCAAACAGATAAGGCATCATTAGGACCTGAACTACCTGTTGAGTTGCTCTCTGTTTCAGTTAGTTTGTTTATGCAGGCAGTTCCCACGATCAATCCATCATTACCTCATGTGCTTGGACAGAATATTACCCTGTTACCACCTGATCGTTCCCCTGGACACATTTAGACAAGATGTCGGCTGTCCACCTGCTGGTGGTTGCATGCTCTGATCCCGGTTCTGATCCCAGCTCGCACGCCAAATGTCATTCCCTTCAAAACATTTTCCATTGGACCCCAAAGCCCTCCATTATAAGGTTCTGTAGATGCTAATGCGAGTGTAGCCTCTGTACATCTTTTATACACCCAATTACAGACGACTGTTATTCAACCTCCTGCTGAGAGATAAAACAAAGACCCCTTCCCACTATTGTACCCAACTTCCTCAGCGGTCAGACACACACAGCATAAAACATTAAAGCTGACTACCAGAATGTAGAATAATAAATGTTATTTATTTCATATATATATATATAGATTCGCTATTATATGTAAACAAGGCAGTTAAATTGGCAAAAAAATCTAAATAATTCACTTCACATTCAGCAAATGATGGATAGAAAAGAGGGAGAATGATGCCAGGGAGGTGAGACCGGTCGATGGGATTGGCTGATGGCCGATGAGACTGGTCGATGGGATTGGCTGATGGCCGATGAGACTGGTCGATGTGATTGGCTGATGGCCGATGAGACTGGTCGATGGGATTGGCTGATGGCCGATGAGACTGGTCGATGGGATTGGCTGATGGGACTGGTCGATGTGATTGGGCGATGGGACTGGTCGATGGTCGGTGAGACTGGTCGATGGGACCGGTCCAAGGGACTGTTCGATTGGTCCGGCTTGGTCAGTAGGGGTCACGATGGTGTGTGGAATTGCCAGGTTCCTGTGCCCCCTCAGTCTGTTACTGATCCCAGCTGAGCTGGAAGGCCCTCTGCCTGTCTCCACTGTGCGTTGCGCAGCCTGAACCATTTCTGGAACAAATGAAAACAGCCCAAGGGAGGGGTCAGAGACAGCCTATTGTTTAAATAGCTACTAGTTCCAAATGACATCGAGGCTGATGCATTAGTAAGCCTGAAAACTGACCCTGGTGATGTAATGGTAAATGAAAACTCAGTGAAGTCAATGGGACATGAATAGTTGTGAGAACCCGTGTTGTCTGTCCCAGGTGTCTTTACACATGCCGTACCGTGATGTTACCAAAGCAACACCCAGTGCTGTTCACTGTTTACACCAAAACGAAAAAATTGGATTTTTATGAGGAGTTTGCTTGAGAAATGTGTTTCTGGCTAGGGAGCTGAGGGAGTTCAAGTCTATACTGCATTCGGACAGTGTTGTGGAAACTGTGTTCAAATTGCCCCACAATCACCATATTGAACATCCAAACTGAGAATGATTGTGTGCAACGATTTGACGTGCTTGACATGCCAAGCCTGGCAGTGTTTGGAAATTAAGCCATGTTGCCAAGGAATGCAGAGCAACTACGACACGTTTGAGAAAGCATTCGACTGTCATTTCCCAAACTCTTTTTGGGCAACACTCAAGTTCAGAATAATCTGTGCAATTATAATGAAACACCCATGTGCTGTTCTCATTTGGCGTTCTATCCGGTCCAATTGGGCTGATGCACCGACTGACTGATGAACAAACACAGCACGGCGCATCAATGAGACGGTCCTACTAGATGGACAACTGGGAGATCTGCTACATGAATCCTATACCGCTTAGACATTTAAGACATTAACTAGTAAACAAAGCACTTTAAAACACATTGCACACATCGCGCTGCTTGCAGGAGAGGGTGTGTCAGCAGGGTGAACGCTTCCCCTGGGGGACTGTAAGCTCGATCAAACGGCAGGCGGTTTAAAAACATCAGCTGTTAATAGAGTCAGTGGGCCTCACCCATAATTACATTTGCCACCTCTGCGTTCTTGTAATGGAAACAGTTAGGCATCCAACCGGAGCAGAACGGGGGAACGCCCGACCGGTTTGCAGAGACAATAGACGCATGTCTGACATATAGACGCATATCTGACATAGACGCATGTGTGAAATAGACGCATGTCTGAAATAGACGCATGTGTCCTAGTGTGGCGTTTGCACTTGCTGCGCTGACATGTAGTACTGTGCTCTTTATGATCATGTGTAAAAAATGCGCACAGGGGAAATCATCTACTCAAGTCAAAGTAAATGCAGTTCCCCTGTCACACGCACACCTGAAACTGAACAACCGATACGACATGAACTCAGGACCAATCCAATTGTCTACAGTGAGCACAAAGCATCCTAAACTGGTTGCAATTCCTGAAAGGTGACATTGTTTCCCAGCTAATTACTGACAACCACGTGAAAGGCAGTTCGACAAAGATAGTTAATGTTATCCAGGGTCGTATGTTGTTATCAAGCTGACCAAGCTTTCATTGTAGGCTCTGTTTCTATTATTCTAAACCCAGTGGCTCAATCAAACGTCATTAATAAATACCGACCTACATCAATGTTGTGGTTTAATTCACAACTGATCCAACAAGCGTGTAAACCATATTATTACGACGTCATGTCGGGTTCAGATGTATTATTATAATTTCCTCTGATTATGGATAAATGCATTTTTATGACTATTGGGGCGTTACATTATTATAACTATTTGCAAACCTACAGGGAAGCTGCCATTTAGTTCTCTGACGAGATTGGTGCAACTGAATGCAATCGTATTTTAGAACAAGTTTTGGATATGCGTTTGGGTATGCCAGAAGTAAATAAATAAAATAAAACCCACGATCATTATGCAGTCATATGCAACAGGGCCGGTTCTAGGTATAATATAATATTAAAATATAATATATAATAGCCTAAATCAAATGTTGCTTAGGGTCCCCGATAAGCTGGAGTTGCATGGCACTGATCTAGGTGCTCTGACCTGGGTGCTGGGTGCTCTGACCTGGTGCACTGGTGTCTATTGAGTGAAACATCAATTGCTCTTGTTGGAAATTGCTCCATAGTATTTGTTCGTCAGTGCGTGGAAACACCGGGATAACAACTAACTGGAAAGCCAGCACATTACATTCTCACCACAATAGTGCCAAACAACATAGCCTGATCTAGACGAGCCTCCCAACTAGTGTTATATACATTACACTGCCTGCATAGGATGAGTAAGTTGTTTGTCCTGGTTAAGTATTACAACATATAAAGTAATTATACGCTCATTTAAATTTGCGAAGAATCATTAGAAGGCTGCAGGGCGTGTGGTTTCACTCCATCCTCATTATTACAGTGTCTTATAGTGAAAACTAATACCGGTATTCACAGTGATGTTCCTATAGAACATTTATAACACCTACCGCTGTGTCTTCTTCTGTCAGTCCGCTCTCTGCTGCGATCAACATGAGCGTGGACCCGTCGGGATGCTTGGACACTTTGGTGAAGTTCTCCTCCAGGATTTGGATCTGGTCTTCTGCTAACTGCATACTCTCCATTCCATTTGAAGCCATGTTCCCTTTCGAAAATAACTCCAGACAAGTATATATTTGTTTTACTATTTTGTTGGTTATGGGCACTAATCAATAAGAGCCGTGGGATAGTTCCGAAGCCAATGAAGTCCGTGCGTGTGTACAGTAGTGCCAACAAGGAAATACTGCTGAATAAGGACCGACAGATACCGCTGAGTTATTATAGCCCTCACGGAACAACACACACCCAACACGCGTGTCACACTGCCTGCATGTGGACCTATAAACTCAACTGTCAATAGTGGCTCTATCAGAGCAGGTTCCAGAGGACACACCCCCTTCTATATTTAATTGCATTTACCTAAGAAATAGTACGTTTTAAAGTGACATTGCAATCAATATTCATTCGGGAGGCTTATAGGCTTCTAGAAAATAATGCGATTTCTCCATATCACCAGTACTTGTAATGTACATCCTATATTAGCTGTGTGCATTATTGTCACATGCCATTACACAATAAATATTATTGGTTATGTCAGGAATAGGATATGCGGTCCGGAGACCCTCACTCTATTGCACCTGTAACCAATAACCCGAAACTGAACCTGTCTGACCAGATTATAGACAACAGATAAATAACTTTTGGTTGATACATCCACAGTTTCGGTCTTTCTTCCTCAACTAATTGTTTGTGAACAATTTTCTTTGTAGGCTATTGGGTTAATGAAAAATACAATAAATCAAATCAAATCCATATAATAGATAAAACAAAATGCATACAACACATACAATTTTACCCTATAGCCGTTATTACATTTCTACATCTTTTAATGACATCTCATTAGATGTAACTTTAAATATTTATTATCTGATGATGTACAAACATACAATGTAGAAATCCATTTAAAATAGACACTGGAGATTGTTTTTGTTTCCGATTATAATGTTGACTTGGCAAAACTTGCAATTACAACTGACATGACCTTGAGGTGTTTATTGAGTTTTCTCAGGATCTTACAGTAAATAATGATGACTTGGCAAAACATTAAATTACATTAGAAAAATACTTTGTGGTGTTGTTGATTTTCTCAGGACTACACTGGCCACACTCTAAACTGGCACACAAATATTTGACAGTGTCAAAAATAAGTTTATATTTCCAGCTAAGCGGATGTTGCCCATAGTTAGAAGTTAAGGCGGACCACAGACCAAGATAAATCTTTGTCTGCATCTGATAATCCATCGTGTAACTGGAATTATTTTATATATGTATTTATTTTTATTTAACCAGGTAAGCAGATTGAAAACAAATTCTCATTTGCAATGGCAACTTGGGGAGAAGCTGAGTATTGAACCCAGTACATACTACATACAGAGCATGCACTCTACCACTGAGATATCCACTCCTCCAATAGGAACCCAGTACATCATACATACAGAGCATGCACTCTACCACTGAGACACCAACTCCTCCAATAGGAACCCAGTACATCATACACACATGCACTCTACCACTGAGATACCAACTCCTCCAATAGGAACCCAGGACATCATACACACATGCACTCTACCACTGAGATACCAACTCCTCCAATAGGAACCCAGTACATCAAACATACCATGCACTCTACCACTGAGATACCAACTCCTCAATGTCTTCATAACTAATAATTTATGATGGATGTACTTGGCTTCACTGAGACTGAGATCTGTCTAACGGACGTAGACCAGTACATATATGACCATTATATTATATAGTCAATATAAATATCTGATAAAATAGGTGTGTATAAAGGAATAAAAAAGGCAGATGTGTTCATTCACAAGCGTCTGTAAAATAACTGATAAGACCAATACAGTCCCCACAAGTTCAAAGTATAGCGTCTGATAACATTCATGGAATTTACTCAATTAAATCATATTGAATCAAAACAGAATAAAATACATCAAAACAACACAACTAAATGAATTGAGTTACATTGACTGCGGTTCTGTTTTGTACACATCCCGTGGTCAAGTGAGTCATTCTCACACAATACTCTGAATCTAGCACCAGAAACATATGACTCGGAGCCCACAAAGCCCACAAAACGCACTGTGCGATGAGGACACATCATTATTGGATTTTGGGTTGCAAGAGCCAATCACAGAGACTCCATACACAGGGGAACCATTGATCATCGCTGGACCTCCACAAAACCTATAGCTTATATTGTGCCAGAGCCAGAGGAAGCCAAGACCTTGAACCGTGTGCCAGGAGAGCAAACCACGTTAGCTCTGATGTCTGCTTTTAACATGATGTATGCACGTGTTGTTCAGAAGAACAGTCTTTGAGTCTTCACACACCCATACTCACGGTGCCAGCCATTAATCGTAGTAACAGATGATGAGTGTGATTTAGTGCTGTATGGTCACATGACAGGGTTGAAGTGGGCTTTTGACGAGTCCCCACATAGACATTTTAGATATGACAAAAACATTCTATCGAGAGAGCCTAAAGGTGGCCAGTCAGCAAACCCTTTTGTTTTATCTTGTTGCTTTTTGTTTTTAATGTAAGCTGATATTTACACTAGATCTGCAAAGATAAATAAGTGTCTCTAAATGAAAGGAACCCAAGCAAACAAAACCCCCCAAAAAAGCAAATATGCCGAGTGTATTTCCCGAAAAGGAAATGGGGCTGTACAGGATGTGAAATAGCCCAATGAATCTATAGCTGGACGGATCTATACCAGACCACACCACTACTACATCTCCCAAACCACTGGGAGGCTGAGAAAACAGAGCCAGGTTTGTATCCTCCAGGCCCCCACTGATTTCCACAGAAGCCAAACACCTAGTTTTCATTACATCACAGCATGGCTAATGGCTTCAGTCAGCCAGAAACAAGCTTCTGCCCAAATCAGTCAGCCTCTGTATATTTCGTCTGCTGGATAAACCTAAACACCTAAATTCCGGGTATGCGCTAACATACTTTGGTGAATAGTAGAAGTGTTTGTGATTCTGATCGGAGGCCAGTTTTTATCACACAAGCGTATTATAAGAGTCTGGTAGTCTGGCTCTCCCTGCCAGCCCTCCCCCTTCTCCGGGAAACAAAAACATCTGGATACGAGGAATCGAATTTGCCTGGACCCGAGAAGGAAATGGGGCTTCTCGTGCATGAAGAAGTGTTGATCTGGGGAAAGAGAGAACCACTGGAGCCAGCCAGTTTGGCCCGATCTCAGCAGTTGCACGCTCAACTCCTTCATGAAGAAAGCACAGACGACAACTCTTATAAATCTGCGAGCGGCAACGCCAGGACTTCAGGCAAATGGCAGGAAGCGACGTCTTGTGAGCTCAGAAAGCTGGCCAATGAGGAGGATGGTCGCGGAAAACGAAGGCTGGATGTCTTCCATGATTGGGCAGATGTATTCATTGTAACGAGGGAAATATTGACTGTCTGGTCCCATGTGCGTGGCTACTGATGCCTTCTTACAAGACATTTTGCATATGGTTCAAGTTTAGAAGTCGTGTCTGTTCAAGGAATGCTCATCAAAATAAAGACCCTGCCAACTCTTTCTCTCTCTGATGGTTGTGTGCGAAGGAGGAGCCAGTGTATTCGTTTGTCTGCGTCTTGAGTCAAGCTGCAGTAAAGCTGAGCAAACAGTGTGGTTCGAACAGCCCATATAACTCGAACAGTTGTTAGAAGAGCTGCGTGTGGCTGTGTACATTGACCTCAATATGAGCGTCAGGAGAGCTCGTTTCGCTTCTCCTTAATGCAAACACCAAAGGCTGTAATGAAGTTGGTTTGGGTATTCCTGCTGCTATCAACGGATGGTTTACTACCATGGAATAATACGCTGTTAATATGTCACCAAGTCTACCGCTGTACTCTATAACAGCCGATTATGTGAACATAAACACCTTCCTTCAGAAGAGATGTTTATTTTAAATCTGGGTGATAAAGACTTCTGGGCATTCCGTTTTTTTCTGGACTTAAAACACTTTTTCCCCTACTATATTGCCTGCCATAACCATCTGCAGCACATCCTGTCAAGCAATATCCCTTTGTAAACATACAAGACAAGCACATAACCTCCCTTTCATTGAAGCCATTATTGTAGACAAAAACACAGGAAGCATACACTGTTAGCTGTCCTTACCACGAGACAAAGCACCTGGCAGTTCCAGGTAACGAAAAGGAATTGAGAAAAATATTGTTTTTAACGGTTAGGTTGAAGTCAGGTCTACATTTGCAGCAGCCACTCTGGATTTAAGATGGAAATATGGAGTCACGCAGCAATGTAAAGAAAAGACCCTTCAACTGTATTTGCTTTCTCAAGGTCTGTGTGTTTTGTGTGAATGTGTGTTTGCATGTGCCATTGTGATACTGCAGGGAAGGAATATCTGTGTACTAAGTGGAAGGTAAAACTAAATTCTGGCCTTGTTCTGAGGTGAAAATAAACACAGGTAAACATAAAGTAATCGTTTTATCTGTGTAAAACTATTTATGGCATATGGAAAAGATAATTGGTGGTAACCCGTTGGTGCTAAAATCCTGTGTTGGTCTCTGGTGTCATTTAGAGCAGACCGGCTGGTAAGGATATTAATCATTGAATAAAAGGCTTTATATTTTTGAGGGAGTACATAATATGATGATGGCTATTGAAATGACTTAACCATGTGGGACTCAGACATGTTTGCACATGGATCAGACAGACTGACAGAGTCAGTTCTTTTGTTTTGTACATGACAGAGTTATGCCCACAACATTTGCATGGTGACTCCATTTCCAGTCAGTCAACTCAGTCTTAATAGAGTAGAGCTTTTAAAATGGGTGCTCAGTGGTAAAAGACTAAATTAATCCCAAAACATTGGCTTTATCTTGAGAAAACTAATTATTATCGTAATCATTCCATTTTAGAAATGCCTACTAATCACCGAGACATTTTGTGCTATTGACAGTTGAAAACGCCGAAACCAAGCCCCGAACTAGTGTTTCTTTAAACTACACATAACATATATTCGTAGTCACTAAGCAACAAGTTCACAATGAAATGTGTCTTTATGTATCAACTTGTTGATGCATGCTCTGTCGGGTTCAGGCTGGGCTTTATAAAACACATTTGATTGATCCAGACAGGAAACCGTCCACATCAAACCATCCCAGGTTCTCTCTCATTGCATATATGAACGTTACGGCCACTTGCCTAATATTTCTATTTGATTAGCATATTTAATATGAAGGAACTGATTTAGCCACAAGTGTTTATCCGTATTCCCTCAAATCGCAGTAATTGTGTAGATATGTGAATGAGTCGCCAGGTCAATAGCTTGACCACAGCGCTGTTCTTTAATCACTATTATAGGCTATTCCTTTCAAATCATGCAAAAGACCGTTTAGCAAACATGAACCTTCTAACATAGTATCACAGGAGATACTTTGAATATGTGAATTTTAGACTTTGTTTATTAAGCTGGTCATAAATTATCGCACATAAAATATTATTTTCAATAGTTACAAAGTGGATAGCAACTTCGGCTACCGGCTCAACAAACCGAAGGACGGACAGTAGTTTACAGGGAGTTTTGTTTCATCTGACGCCACATGGTTTGAACAGCAGGGGAGAAGATTAAAAAAATAGGTCCTCGGCCACTGCTGTCCAGCAACTCGTTACACAGACAGCAGCCAATCAGAAAACACAATGAGGACAGGTGCAGCTCCAAAGTACCCAATGAAATACAAGAAGGAAAAGGCCATTCTCATGTGGATTATCTGAAAATAACAGACTAAACCAGGGGAGGATGAGAAACAGCAGGACTAGAAAAGAAAAATGTATGGTTCAAATACCATAACATGCAGACATAAAGTCAAGAGACAGAAATGTGACAGGGAGATACGACCAGGAGAGAGGCATGGGAGAGACCAGGAGAGAGGCATGGGAGAGACCAGGAGAGAGGCATGGGAGAGACCAGGAGAGAGGCATGGGAGAGGGAGAGAGCAGGAAAGTAATGTGAGAGAGGGAGAGAGACAGCAGATAGGTTATAGGCCGTGAGAGAGACAGCAGGAGAGAGAGAGCAGGAGAGAGTGTGGGTTGAGGAAGTGGCTGGTTCTGAGCACTCCAGTTGATCTGTGAGTCAAAAAGCGTATTCCTTCCATTTCCCAAATGTCACCAGCATTAAGTCAGTGGGATTTGTCCCCTTGTTTTTGGTCATATTCTGAGGCTGAGTGTGATGGAACACACGCTACAGAACCAGTAGGGTAGGTGGGCTGTCCCTCTGAGCCTCCGATTCAGCATGTGCCACGGTCTCTACTGTTTTAGGATCCTACACGGGGCCCCGGGGCCTTCTAGTCACTGTGATCTACTTGGATATCTGCTGCTGGACGTGGAGCAGGAACTCGTAGTAGGAGAAGGCTGACTCGGACCGGTCCT